GTCGGGGTTAACTCACAATTACGTGAAATTCACCATACCCCTAATGCGTGAAATCGAAAAGGGATGGGGAATGGGGTTTTGGGTGGGGTGGCCGGAATCGAAAACCGACGGGAAACACGAAGGAGTGCGCTCCAATGGAACCAAGGCCACGAAAAACAAGAATTGAACACAAATTACCAAAAGCGACGAACACGAATCACGGTGGATTCAAACCGACGGCCGACGTTTCGTGGGTCGTTGGCGGTGGACTGCTGGAGTTTCGCGGGTGGGGTTTCGATGGTTAGGGGTTTAGGCTAGGGTGGGTGTCGCGACGGGGAAAGGGGAGGTGAATGGATAGGGGTCCGCCTGCCGCCGGCGCGCCTTCCGGTGCTGGCTTCGACGGCAAGGAGGTTTGGGTGGTGGTGGGCTGGTGGCGGCAATTTGGTGGTTTTTTAAAAATATTTTTGGTATTTTTTTTAATTTTTTTTTTTTTTTTTTTTTTTGGTTTTTCAGTTTTTTTTTATTTTTTATATTTTATTTTAAAAAAAGGACCAATCAGAAGGTGACACGTGGCAAGTGGTGGGTCAACTAACGGTCAACTAACAGCCTTTAGTCATTAATGGCACTTGGTGAATTTTTTTTAAAACTCGGTGGCATTTAGTTAGTGAATTTTGAAAACATTGATGGCATTTAGTGAATTTCGCAATTACTCAGTGGCATTTGGTGAAATAGCCGATTCTAATTCTAATAGTGCTTCATCTGCACACCGAGTTGCCATTGATGATGTGTTCCTGTTTGTTAGTCATCTGTTTTCTGATCCTGTTGTAAAAACCCGGGGGTCCCTTTTCATTTTGCCGATCTTCCAGTCTAGTCATTGTCATTGCGTAATCCGCATCTATAAGCTTGAGAATCCCCTGTGGAGTAGCCCGAGTGTCACGGAAAACAGCTTCATTTCTTCCAACCCAGATGGCCCATGAAGTAGCAATGAAGTATTTTGTGGGGCAGAAACTGTCATTCCCTTCCTTTCGCAATTAGATGATCCATTTATCTACCCAAGTCTTGATATCACTGTCCTGCTGTCGTTTGGTGTCAATACCCAATCTTCCTCCACACCAGACTCGACTCACAACCTCGCAGTCTCTTAGCAGATGCCCTAGAGTTTCCTCCTTGTCCTCTTCCCCACACAGATTACAAGAGGTGGGGAGCGAAAGGTTTCTTCTCTTGAACTCATAACCAACAGTAGCGCCTTACTCCTAATCTTCCATAGGAACACATTCCGATCCATTTATTATTGACATCTAGTTTCCAAATATGATGAGCCCTTCAGTCTATGGCTTGACTAGAAGTACCTACTAGTAGAAGTGTCGTCCTCCCTACTATTAGCAATGAGATCATATCCACTCCATAACTTAGCTAAACTTGTTTCCTACTTGGCTAATTTCAACCGGAACAAGATATGATTCACTCAATTACAACATGATCCAACTTAATATAAATCTAAACCCGTTATAACCCAACTATACATGTTTCCAACCTAAATCAATTCAGCTGAAACCAGATATGTCGTCTCACCTAAATTATGAGATTTACATCCCAAACCGATTTGAAATAGTAAAACTAACCAAACCAAATCGATATTCTAATTATAGTAAATCAACTGGCCACCAAATGAACCCACTTCAACTCAACTCGTTTTCAACCTAATTAATCCTTTGACCCAAATTGACAACATTGAATAACCGTTATGATTGATATGAATTGGGCACAATAAGTTTAACCGTTAATAAATGGAAATTCTTGTATATATTAGTAGAAATTATATATGGAGTATAAATAAAGATAAAGTTATGAAAAAAAACATAAATGCTAATATAATTTAACAACATTATACAATATAACATTTTTTGCTTATATATTAGTAAAAAAAAAATATGAAATAGTAAAAATTATTATGAAATGGTTGGAGTATACATATTGACGATTATTATTTTTAAGGATGGATCAATATAAATACGAGTACATGATTGTAATTTGTAAATGGAAAGAGTATTATGTTATCCCAAGACAAAAAGAGTTTATGTTCTCACACTTAATATTCAAAGAGATCGAGAGTATTATCTATGTTAATACTATTAATCGTATTAATATAAGTATGAACTAACCCATTTGTAATTAATGTCAGTGCCATTCTTTTCACGAATTCCAGGTGTTTTAAGTTGTTATAGTTTGAATAGTAGGAGTGCCTAGCAAAATTGAAAACCTTCAACTTTATCTACCAATTAGTCGGTTTTTGAAGGTGTCAGTCAAACTTTCAAAACCTAAAACATGCAATTTTGAAAACTATTGGACATTTTGTAATAAGTCAACCCACATCACACTACTATTATCCGCAACATTTACACCATTATACTAGACTTTTGACGGCACTAGTAGCATACACTTGTTAGGCTTTTAACATAACGTAACACCAAAAAAAAAAAAAAAAAAAAATTGAAATTACACTACCTAACTGAATTTCAAATTTATTACACTTCATCATACAAATACGAGTGTATAAAAATCAGATAAATGTATCACTCATTGACATCAAATTTGTTTTGTTTTGCAATTATTGACACCAACTTATATCACTTATTGGATTGACACCAACTTGCTACAAAATAACTAAATTGACATAAATGACACCGAATAATAACCAAATTTACTTAGTTTTAAACCCTTATAAAAATAAAATTATAACATTCCTTTCCAACATACAATTGCTTGGAAATAATTCTTACTGTGTTAGAAAAAAAATTATATAGATGACTGATGTGGAGTAACCCAAGTGTTTACTGTCTTTATGTCAATTTTATTCCGTTTTTTAGTAAGTTGGTGTCAATTCAACGAGTGATACAAGTTTATGTCAATATTTGCAACATACTCCAAAGTTGGTGTCGATAAGTGTAATTTTGTGGGAAAAGCCGTACAACTTTTCAAGAAATTGTACTTCCTAGTTCCTATGTAATCATACATCTATCAAACAATCAAGGATTTGATAAATTACAAATTTACAGAGTCTTTTTCTTAAAAAAAAATAATAAAAAAAAAAAAGCTTACATAAGACAAGCACTCCATCCATTTCGTAATAACCGCAACACTAGGTGTTGCATATAGTTTGAAAAATATTGGGTGGGGACCAAAAAGAGAATTTAATAATATAATGTATAGTTAGTATGGGTATATTTAGTTGTTAATTAGAAGAGAGAAATAATAAAAAAAAATTATAAAAAAAAAAGTAGTGTTGCAATTATTATGAAACGAATGTAAAAGAAAACTGTTGCGATTATTACAAAAATGAGGGAGTATGAGATTTTTATTTCTGATGCTACTTTGTGCATGTGACTTTCATTGGAGGGGAGCTCATAAAACTAAGGGCGGGTTTATTTCATCTTATATTAACTCATCTAATCTTGAGGGGAAAAAAGTTTAAATTTTAGACAATTAACTTATCTAATCTTATTCACAGGGTAGAAAATTTTGACACTATTTGAAATCATTTCAAATACAATACCACAAAATAAGTTCGTGTAATTCAAATAAATTAATATAAATTCATACAAAATTATGTAAGTTCAGATAAATATATAAAATTATATAAATTCAGATAATATAATTTCAAACAAAATCAAATACTTCTTCCATTTCTTTTAAATTGCATCACTTTTCTAAAACGAAAGTTTTAAATTAGTTACATCACTTTTCTTTAGTTAATAAACTATTTCTATCTCTCTTTTATCACATGGATTTTTTTTTCTCTATCTCTCTCATCTCCAAAAATTATCAAAAGCTCCGCAATTTGCAAATTGATGAAACTAAAAACAACGGACAAAGTAAATCAAATATAGCCTAACTATTAACCACATCTCATATGTTTTCCAATATCCCTTTTAAAGTTGGTTAGAAAAACCCCACAACAACCGTCACATACCAAAAATGTAACATCAAATTTTGGAGAATGATTGTCAAGTTGTCATTACTCAAGTTATTTCACATGAGATGAGCTTTTCATATGATTGGTAACTCCAGTGCTAGCTTTCTTCTTCTGTGAGAGCGGTGGCCCGTGGCCGGCTAGTAGGCCCTCTGTTAGGAGGCCACACTTTGTATGAACGAGCTCCTTGTATGTTGCAACACATTGCCTAATAAATCAAATATTCCCTCCGTCCAAAATTATCAGTTGCATGTACTTGCTTCGCTTTATTACTCCGTATATCCGTATAACATACGGAGTAATAACTTTTTGCACCTTAAAGTCTCCACTTTGACCATCTTTGATTTTTGTTACATAAGAATACGCGTATTGGGTGTCAACACAAGTCCTACATAGAAACACTCCGTAGTAAGGAAGAGTTGTGTTTGGCGTTCCTAATCGATGCCCACAGTCCACCTATCTTCTTTAATATCGTATGAGATCTTTTGAAAAGGTGCCAAAAAAAAATTCATGCAGGTTAGACCCAATATGGACAATATCATTAATGTGAAGTAAAGGTGAGTGTGCAACCCAACGGTGATATGAATCAAAGCCAAAGGTTCGAGAGTTGGACCTGTGAGCTGATCTATGCTCTTACAAGTTGATAGAGAGGGAATAAAGATAACACAATTATATATCATAATAATGTCGTTTTAAGCGTGCACCTCAAGTCCTCAAGTTGGATAAACAAACCCAACCAGTTGGTATTAAAGCCAAAGGTTCGAGAGCTGGACCTGTGAGCTGGTCTATGCTCATACAAGTTGATAGAGAGGGAACAAAGATAACACAATTGTATATCATACTAATGTAAAATAAAGGCGAGTATTGAGTGTGCAACTCAACAAGTTGAATGAAATGAACAGACCGAACAAGTGACATCAAAGCCAAAGGTTCGGAAGCTGGACCTGTGAGCTGGTCTACGCTCTTTCAAATTGCTAGAGAGGGAATAACAGTGCAGGAATGTATCATGTCATATCCCAATTTCACAACTGAATACGGATGTTCTGCTAGATTGAACTCAGTAAACTTCAGAATACATGTATATGTGATGCTGAAAACAGGGATGATAACTAACAGTATCTGCCTTCAAAATCACTCAGTATATTTCCCTATTTCCACATTAAACACACATCCACGGACTTTATAAGAAATTTGATAAAATCTTAATATACACCTTTTTGTTGGTATTATCAGACATTACAGATTTTCGGAAACCATTTTGTGTACATAACAGAATTTATTCAGCACAATGACCCTGTTAAACTCCCAAAAACAACATACATGTGATAAGATAATAAAAATGAATCACTTGGTGGCCTCAGTCAAAACTGGTGAGAAGTGAGATTAGGGACTCATACTTGGGAAACTTTGCAACAAGATCACTTCGCTTTGCTGACTCTGAGTCTTCATACTGGAAAGCAGGAGCACAAGTGACCCCCAATAGAGTGTAGTACTTGTCGCCATCTCTGGGTGTGACTTCAATATGTGAACCATCTGCAGATATGGTAATATCTTTGGTTGGAAATGAACCAAACCACATGAGAGGAGGCACTGTGTGCTGTGGTTTCTCATCCTCAAGAAGGTTAGGCCCAACACGAGTTAACTTGACCTGTCCATTCGTTTCATCCAACTCCATTACCTGAAAACAGAGAATTCTCAGTTAAAGCACAAAGGATGCAAAGAAACAGTTCAGGAAAATGTGCTCTTGTAAAAATTTATCTGAGCAAGTGAAACTAAGATAAATATGGAGACGGATACAAACAGATCACCAGAAGCAAGTTATACTCTCTTTAAATATAACTTAATCAAGGCTTGCAAAATACTGACTGAAATTTAGATTCTTCATGTATTTTGTCCCAGCTGCTGCCTAACAACGGTGTTTAAGGAAAGGGGAACAAACCAACTAAGGATATCACTGCGATACCTAACAAAAATAAATCAGGTACCTTTTATAAGTTATGGGCGTTTCAAAATCCAGGAAATATTGAATCAACCAACTGACATAAAAGTAGAAAGTTATTCTATTACCCTTTATTTAGCAACAAAGCTTTCCATGCAGATTGGCTGCGCATACAAAAATCTAACAGAAAGGTCGTTGGTAGCCTGAGGACTTAGTACAGACTACAGATAGATAGTCTGGTGTTTCTATTAATAGTAAGAGGACTATAAAACAACATCAGCTTAACTTATAATCTTAATTTCAATTAATTTCTGGTAGAGTTTTAAATGGTTAGAAATATTATCAAATTCGTTGACATACTTGTCGAAATAACGTGTCAAAAACTCAAAATACTGAAAAGCCACAGTTGACTTACCAGAAAGTACAATACCTAATAATTTGGTAAGACTAACTAACCATCTTCTATATTCATTCAAATGTCAGGCTATTTAATTGTAATTAGCTAATGCCTCTCTAATCTACAATATACAACTTAATTAAGAAACTGGGAAGCAGACATAACCAGAACGTGAGAAGCTATACAGATTATAATAGGGAAAGGTCATGAAAAGATGCATCCAAAGCAGGTTTTTCATAGGTCAGCAACAAAGAAATGAAATGCTTCTCAAGGGACAATCAGTGACACACAACAACGAATTCTGACAATTGTGCAGTACTAATGTACAGAAAATCTTAACAATGGCTATAAACATGTTCAGTAGAGTGTCCGGAAATTCACAGATATAAGACAAAACTACTTTATCACACAAATCTATCTAAGACAATTTCACAGGTGAGGAAGAGTCCCACCCATCCTCACCATAAGTTTTGACAAAGGTGGTAGGCTAGCAAACTTTATAGGTTACTCCTGCATGCAATCACAAGCAAATTGGTTTCTTGTTACATGTTTTAGCAACAAATAAAACTTCATCAAATTGATACTTCTTTGATTCTCACCAATCCTTGCCTTTTGTAAAGTACCCCTTGGTGAGGACTTTTTTTTTTTTTTTTTTTTTTAAAGTTGTCCTCATTGTGAATATTACAGTTTTCAGTTTTCTTGACTCTGTCGGTAATTATAGGATACTGTAGTGGCTTGCTCATTCTACAACTGCTCATCTTTTAAGAGCCTCTTTTCCTCAAATGTTATTGTCTTTGAAAGTTTGAAATATAGGGTTGCTAACTTATGATTTTATCTATTGGAAATTAGATAAAGTCTTCCACCCACGATGAGGCAAAAGATTATTGTTTGACTTCGAAACAAGGAGATGTAGCACATTAGTGATTGTATGTCGGTAGAAATTAATGTGAATTTCTCACTTAAATTCCCTCCTTAAATTAAGCCTACAAACAAAAAAGAAAAACAAAAAAAAAAAAAAAAAAAAAAAAAAAACACACCACTCAGTGTGCTACTAGAGTAGGTACTGCGTCTGCCAAAACTATTTACTTGGATATAGTTCTGATACCAACATGTAAAAAAGCTGGTATTTACAGATGTTGGGTGCATAACTCGACCTTGGAAGCATACAAATAAATTATCCAGGTTCTTGTAGGAATTGGAATCACAAAACTTCCTACTTCTCGTTAATCTGGTTCGCCTACCAAGGTTTTGATTTCTAATACTACCCTCTAGTGTTCCACAACTCAAGAACCACTTCTCACTCTTTCTATGTGGATTTGTAATAGGTAGGAAAGGTCTCTACATTCCATTAATTTTGTTTAGCCTACTGAGTACTGACTCCCTTATCGTAGGATTGGGGTGGAAAGGAATGGTTTCCAAATCCTAAAGTTCATCATTATCCCTTGATCAATTTGCTCTTGACTACCACTACAGCATATTTCCATTCTCATGACTTGGTAGGCCTGTTAAGATTGTTATGGTTCCAAACAGTTTATGACCCCAAGAGACACCCCTGACATCTACTTCAAATTGATAAAATTTCCCAAATTTGGTCCGAAAATGTGGATTATAGCTTTCAGTTTTAGAGAATTTTCGACTATTTCAAACCCGAAAAGGATAAAGGACGAGGGGTTTCTCATGGACCTAAAGAAACCCCGAGAGGTCATTTAGGTGGTTGGAACCATCCACTTTGCCTCTAAACTATCATTTCATCTAATTACACACACCTTTCGTCATTAACTTAGGGCGACCACAGGCATTTGTGTGATCGATTAGTGGGCATATATGGTTTCATACAAACCTAATGCATCCCCCAGCATCACTTGAGTTTTCAACACCATGCCTCAAAATCTTTAAAAAAAAAGGTTCGTTTTCGTGTATTAACCTTCAAATATAGCTTCCAGAGAACATTTTTTTAGCACAACAAGGTTAGACATCAAGGTTTTTCCTGAAGTTCTCAAAGGACCACAAGAGGCCTATTTGGTGCTGGGAACCATCTAATTCATGCCTTGGCCATTACTTTGCACCCCTCATAATCGTTTCATGCTATGCTTTGCCTTGCTTCTTCAAAAATGCCCCTAAGGCGAGACAAGACGCTACCCTCTATTTCCATGATAAGCTTTTAAGAATGAGGTGTCCTCGTGCCCATATCTCATTCCTAGGTCTCGTCATCATCACATGTGTCCAGAATCATGTTTCTATATTAAATGGTAGTCCAACCCATAGACATAACTCACATAAGTGATAGGTACAACTAACATATTCTTCCTTTCACCAAGATGTCATTTAGTTAGTACTCGTACCCTAATTAGACTGAATCATCGAGGGTCATAGCTAGTACAGTTAAGCACTAACATCAACTCCATGTCTCCGTTCCTCGTGACATCGTCAAAAGTCCATAAGATTATATACAATGATCAACATTCTCCGTCTATAGGACTCACACGACGACAAAGTAGGGATCCATTTACTCATGTCCTCATTGGTCGTAGTACACATGTGCTATTAAACATGTGCTATGGTAGAGAAGAAACTCTTTCAGCAAAGAGCCTATGTCAATCTCAAAAATACACCACACAAATTACATTCAGTCACACCCACGTGCCTAACCTAAGTATTTAATATTTATATGCTTACTCATTAGATTCCCATGATCTACAAAAGCAAGAAGCATGTAGCATCAGAATGATTCCAACATACAGATTAAACCTTACCGTAATTGGCTCACCCATGTAATGGTGGAAGGTTTCAGCACAAGGAATACGATGAATTTTCGCCACGCTCCCAGAAGGCAGCATGAAGTAAATGGCAGTGCTAACAGCTCGATCCACCTTGTCTGAACATCAACAACACTCCTAGAAAATCATAAACCAAGATTTTGGCACCCATGGCTTCACTTATCACTCACTAAATAAAACAACAATCACAATACAAGAACTTACTGCCCCATTTCATAATTTTACCGATACATAATTAGTGTTTGGTATTTTATGCAATAATAACCCAAAATGCAATGGAAATCAATTGACATTTAAAACATTACTCCTTCCATCCCACTTTAATAGACCACATGATTATAATTATCCTCGAGAATTTATACTCTATAAGATTAATGAACCAAATAACACCATTTCAAAGCTACTTAAGTATTGGGGTTTGGGAGTATCTTAAACTTGGATAATTCAGCAAATTAGATGCATATCAAACATCAACAACTGCTTAACCAAAAGGGGGTGAAATTATACTATAAAATACAAAGAAAAAGAGAAATTATAAGGGTTAGAACTTACATTGAGGAGGAAGGAGAGATTTAGAGAGAGAAACAGAGTTATCTCTGAATGTCTCAAAGTAAAACCCACCATCTGGGTGGGGTGTTAAATTCAATTTCTCCACAATTTCTGATGCCCTCAACATCTTCTTCAAACAAATTTAAATATACGATTTGCAAGAAAGGGTTTATGTGAAGAAGATTGAAGAGACTAGAGAGTGATAATTTGATGATAGAAGTAGTAGATAATAAGTTGTCCTTATATTATGAACTATTTGAAAAATTAAAGTCGTCCGTCGTCCAAAAAAGCGTCGGTGTTTTCTTCAACTTATTTTGACATAATAGAAAGATTTGATTGAATTTATTGAAAACGGAATTTATTTTAATGAAAACACACCGTTAATAATTAATAATGAAGTTCCGAGTACCTTGCCATTAGGATAATTTCACATATGGTATTTGAGGTATGAAATGTAGTTGTTATAGTTTGGGTACCTCACTCTAACACCTTTAGGTTGGAGGTAAAATTACCATAAAATAATCAAATGTTACCCAATACAAAGTTTAAAATAATAGTTATGGAGTATCTATTAGCTGTAAATAAAATTGTTCTCTTTACAAAATTTTTATACCGTAAAAATCACTCATAATGCATAAAGTTGAAAAATGTTTGCTTGACCATTACGATTAACAATTCTCACTGGACATGACTTGAATCACTTGATCATGAACAAGAAGTTATTTCAGAGAAAAATTCAAAGAATAAGATGTAGTACTAGTGTATTACATGGTAAGCGTAGCACATGTTTAATTAAATTGACAACACTGTACAAATATTTGTGTTTAACTATTTACAACTTTTAACCCACTATGTACTGTTACACTCAGGAAGTTTTCTATGGTCATTCACAAATTCCGATAGCCTGTGTATTCGATCATGGAATGGTAGAACAGGTAGCTACCTTACGGCACTCATCTTTTGTAAAGCTTAGCAACCCAAGGGGCAAGTTCCAGGTTATCTGGTGTCCTTGAATTGACAGAATAGTAATCTGACCAGTAAAATTGCTGTCTCTCAGAGAATCTTCCGTCAGAATACAAATTAAATGGTAACCAACCATGACCCCCGTTCATATTTCTTTTCTGCTCTCTAGGATAAGCCAATGGTGCCTGCACATACCTGCATAACAGGAAAATTCAAGGACAAACTGACCCTAATAAGCTGACAGCGTAAAGATGGCTTTAGTTTTGAATAATGCAAGCCATGCAACATGAGAGTTACTCGATAGCCAAAGACCAAGTTAAGATGAGGGCCATACCTGATCCCATCAAGAGTAGCATCCCAGCCAAAATGGGTGTGGCCAAACACATGACATGCAGCTTTGCTCCCCTCAGCACCGTGTATAGATCTGATTCGAGCCTCAAGAAAGCTGGAACCGATGATTTTAGGAAGGTTTGGATAGAAAAGCATTCTTTTCTCTGGACATAGGTCTAGCCTGTGAGAATTTAGAACATAAGACAAATTGCCAGCATAAAATGGCACTCCATATCATAAACATTCTCACCCTTCCAAGAGAAAAATCAAGTAAAATCCTTGGAGGATGTAGATAGGAATATGTAACAGATATGCCTGGAATTGTACAAATACTTAATAGTGATAGAAACTTTGAAAGAATGCCGGATATAACTGAGAGACTCTATCTTAAAACTAACCTAGGAACAAAGTGGGAAAATGTAATTACTTTTTCACATTTTCTCTGGATCTCTTGTATTGTATGAGCATGTCTCTCATTCATTGCATCAAAATGCCGAGCAAGAGAATCATCCCTATCACAGAGCTCAGCAGACCATCTGCACGCATGAAAATCTTTACATACCTAGAAAAGATGTCCGCACAACAAGTAGCATGATTAGACTTTTCACACAAGCCTAAATCTGGAAATTTAATTTGTGAAAGAATTTTACATCATCAACCAAGAGGAGAAGGAGAGAGAAAATACCGATGCATATAAAACTATTTATCAATGCACAAAGACAACCAAAGAGAAACATTTGTTGAAACCACAAAAATAAAGGCCAATCTCTTTCTAATATATGCAACTAAATGAAGTTTTTCCAATATGGAGTAAGTAAAAGTGATTTTCCATTAAAATAGGAGCAAATGAGCATTGAGGATAACTACTAGCTCTACAGCTGGTTGGTCTCACTAGGATGGTATATTATCATATAGGAATACACAAGACTATCCTAGCTAGCCTAATACAAAAAAGAACTAAACTTGCATCAAAATCCAACAGTAACCTACATTGTACATTACCAAAGCTATTACTAATCAGAGCAAACATATTCAGCAATGTTCACAAGGTTAAGAATGAGTTACCATCTTCAAGGAAGGAACTCTCAATCCAGTTATATCCTGCTCTGTATCGAAACTCTAAAATGCATAAAGCTCTAATCAGAAAGCAGTAAAAAATTATTAAGCAATTCAATTCAACCATAACCGTAGGGAAAAAGGTTGATCCAAGAAACACAAACCAGAAAGTGACCCAAAAGAGATAGCTTCAACTTACCTCATGATGCCACGAGAAGAGGGGTATGAATCCCAAGTTACCTATGATCAAAGGCCTTGATTCCACTCCAAGTTCATCACATGCGCGAAGCAGCGCATCGAGCTTATCAAGTGAATCAAGCTGGACAAATAAAACTAGCATAAGCAATTATGGTTTTGGAAATACTTAATACTGCCCAAAGCAATAAGCTAGACATGCAGGGTCATAAGAAGTTCGGAACAATGTAAACCCAAGATACCCTGCAGTAGCTATTAAAAACAATTTTACACTATGCTTTATCAGGTACAGTGCAAATAATATTGAAGAAGAACAGAAAATTTCAAGCCATACAGGCAGGGTCTTTATGGCTCATAAGGAACGAGGGTTAAACATAGCAGTGGGTGCTTCTGGAAAAAATGTTATCGTGACACAACTGAAGAATAGTGTTCTGAATTTTTATGATTGTGGAAGATCAAATTCAAAGAAAATTATAAGATTTTTGATGAATTAATCAGGGTTGTTTGGGAAAAACAACTGTAGGACAGCATTGGGCTGTGCTCCCAATCTGAAGTATCATTAGTTTGATGGGTAAAGAGTGCAATAACCTTTTTCTCATGCCACAAAGTTTACACTCAGATACTTTAAGACAGCATAATCTAAGAGACACAAGGTGCACTGCACAGAAATCTCCTATACTTTCTAATTCTCCTCTTTCTTAATTCAGCATCAGGGGCACCAATACCAAAGGTCAGCTATATAAATCACCTGGTCATTCTACCCATACAATTCCCTTTTCAAATTTATAAGAACCTAGATTTTACGGTTCATTGTGCCCCTTCCCCTCTTTCTGAAGTTCATTACTTAGAAAAAATTTCATAAATAATTGGCTGTTCAACACAACATTACAAGCATTCAAACAGATCAATGCCGCTTTGTGAAGCTCCCCGCAGTTCATCAAGAACCTGCTCATACTTTACCTTTTCATATCATTCCAAATCAAATATGTTTATCAGCATGTTTAAAGTGAATTCACCACCTTCACCGCTTCACATGGTGCATGTATCGTTCAACGCATAATAAATTTTACAAAATAAACAAAGACTAATAACTAAACCAAGCCTATCATTTTCAGAAAATGCATGCATGACTTCTTGATTTTAATATTCTCCCAACAGTACCTAGTACCTACCAGGACTACTATTTTTTAGCATTTCCTCAATGGTATCATTATCGCATTCATTCTTTCTTTCAGCATTTCATTAATAAAAGCTTTTCAATTCAATGTACATTATGCACCAAAAGACAAATGAACATCAGCATTACCCAAATGCCTCTAAAGGGAACTTTTACCCTAGGGTTGGAATTTTTTTTTTTTTTTTTGGGCTGCGATACAAACAAATTACTTTCTATAGACCCTTAAGACTAAATGCAACAACTGAGTTCTATCTTACAATTAAAAAAAGTGTATTAAGAGAGTATGCATTTTGATGAGCCATATTCATTAACTTCATTTCAAAATCCAAAACTATAGTGACCTTTTACTCGATCAGAAATGGTCAACTCATTAGATAAGAGATTATCTACCTCTAAACAAAGTCTCCAAATTCCAAACATGGGGATTTCTTCATAACTTGACTCTATTCACAATTATCATAGATGTTTAAAGGTTTAGTGGCTGCTTAAACAATATCAATATATAGCAAATGCAAGTAAACATGATCAAGAGTAAAGCATATACGTAGTTATGAGTTTAGATTTTTTTTGAAAAAAAAAAGGGTCCGGGAGAGCACTAAGCCACTAATTACACAACTAGTAGTAATTGCTGAAACATAAACAAGTCAGGAGTTTTTTTTTTAAGTCTCCAATGAAATTTATATGGAAAAAACAGAAAAGAAAAATGAAAAGTAACAAGAAAAGTAAACAAGAAGTCTGATTCTTACAAAGTCTTTTTTCTCTTTGCGACACCAAAGATCATGATTTCCAGGCACATAGAAAACATGCTTGAATTTATTTGTCAATATAGACATAGTCAAGGTGAACCTATCGTATGTCTCAGCCACATCCCCCGCAACAAGAAGAATATCATCCTGGTGGCTTGTGGAAGATATGCAGTTTACCCACGCCATGTTCTCTGCGTAATCAGTATGCAAGTCCGAGACCACAAAGACCCGAATATCCTCCATTTTTCTATGCATTGAAGCAAATATCCTAGAATTTCTAGTACCAACCCTATTAATTCTGCATCTGGAATTTTTCCATGTAAGCTCTCTTGATAAACTGCTTGCAGACTGACTAGAATACAACACGCCTTTTAAAGATAACGAAGATCCTCCTACCATTTGGCAACTCCAAAGTGTTGACATATCCAACTTCTAAGCTCCTAGGAAAAGAAAAACAGCACAATATAGATATTTTAAATCTTATACATTATGTTTATTTCCAACACAAACAAAAGGATTCCCAACTATAAGTCTCTAATCAATGAGACTCGGGGTGCATCAAAACAGCACATGATAAGCAATGGCAAGCTGCGAGTATAATGGTACTAGGCATTTTCCTATATTATGCCACATATTACATCCTAAGAACATTCAGGGAGTGAAAGTCTAATCAAAATTAAAACTGCGAATGACATTTACTTATACCTAAGCATTGGACCAATGAAACTTGGGGGATTTAAGGAAGTTCACTTGGAAAAATTCAGTGTTATCTTTACCTGACCTATCTTATTAACCTTGAATTTATCTATCTTTGTTCGCCCTTTATCTTATCCAAACTTATTGGCCTAATTCATGACCAAATCCATAATGAATACCAGTATAATCTATCATCCTATACTTCCTCTTTTGACAAGCCACGCTTCTATTTCTGACCTCCCAAGTCCCAAAATAATGCAGCCTTCATGTTTAACAAGTTATATTATGGATTCCATCACAATATTCTTACGACTAATTTGGTAGGCAGTAATAAATGGTGGTAACGGAAATGAATTCGTATGAAACTCTTATGCTATTCCCCATGGTAATGCAGCCTATGCAGGGTATCATTACTTCCAAGTTCCAACCAAATGAAAAATGCAAGATTGCAAGATAACAAGAATTAAGCATAACAAAAGGGATCAAAATTGATAAACAAACAGGGCAGAAATTCATATTGATTAAATGGGCATCTTTTAACAAGAATTAACCATCAAAAAATACAACATAATTGAACAAAATTACACAAACAATAAAAAAAATGAAACATGATAAATACTATGAAGGTATAAAAGATTGACCATGAAATTACATTAGAAGAACAAAGAAAGAAAGAATGTAAGAGATGAGAAAATACCCAGAAAGGTAATGGGATTAAGCAAATTGTGGCGGTGCAAACTTCAATGGCGTCGGCAAAGTGCTAATTTTTGGTACGCAGGAGATGATTGAAGTTGAACCCCAAATGAAAGTTTAGAGCGTTGATAATATAAGCTTTTCCCAAAGGTTATTGTTAGTTAATGACTAATGACTAAATGAGAGGTAAGGAATTACGGACATTTTAGGCATGTGTAATTTGAATTTGGACGCCAAGTCTTTGACGGGAATGAGTCTATGAGATGTGAATAAGGATAAGGATAAGGATAGGGAAATTCCGAAATACTGGGATTGATAAGGATAAAATAATGATTATATCTTATTTGGTATAAATAGAAATAAGATTTGAAAATTAATTGAATTAAATAAATAAAAAGCTTCTTTAAAAATTAAAAAATAAATAAAAAGCTTGTTTAAAAAAAAAAAAAAAAAAAAAAGCTTTCTCTATCCAAATAATTTAACTTTTGCATAATTTGAGATACGGTTTAGAAATTTGGTTGTCAACTTGTCATTTATAAAAGGAAAAATAACTTTAATAATCCCAACTATTGACGATTTACTTCTAATCATCCCAACTAAGGTTTATTATCTCTATGCTATGTGATTGATCCAATGGTCCCAATGACCCGTAACCTACTGCAAGGGTAAAAAAAAAAATTTAAAAAGCCACGTGTCAATACGTGATTGGCATAATTAGAAAAAAAATTAAAAAACAATTCCCAGCCACCCCCTCCCCTTCCCCGTGAAACCATCTTCGAACCCCAGCCCACCGACAAACTACCGGCCAGCCACCGCCCACCTCCCTAACCCCCCGTAAACGATCAGTCGTCCCTTCCCCAGCCTGGAAACTTGTTGTCCGGCCTTATCAATTCCCAATTTTCCAGCCGCGCGTCAAACCCCGTCAAGGATTTTACTTCCTTTTGAAGCCTCACTCCAGCAGCACGTCAGGCCCCGCTCACCACCAAGGAATTCCGGTCAACAGCAGCAATCAACGCGATCGCGATTTGCTCTTTTCTTGCTCGTTAAGGCTGGCGTCGAAGAGAATTGCGGGCTGATTTAGTAGGTGGTTTCGGGGGTGGCTATGCAGTGTTGCGGTGGTTTCGGGGGTTGGTACAGATGCGCTTTGGCTGGCTGGATGGTTTCGGGGGTTAGGAGTAGGTTAGATAGGGGTGCTCGGCCGGTTTCGGTGGTTAATGGGGGTGACCGGCCAATTTTCGGCGTGTTAATAAGTGGAGTTAGGGTTTGGCAGTGGTTGTTGGTGGTCGAGCTTTTTCGGTTTTTATTTTTTTATGTTTTTTTTATTTTGGACCAATCACGTGTTGACACGTGTCATGGTAACTTGTTATAACAGGTCATTGACTTGGTGTTGACCGGTTGGGACTATTAGAGGCAAACACATAACATAGTTGGGATTATTAGATAATAAACCTTAGTTGGGATTGTTAAAAGTAAATTGTCAATAGTTGGGATTATTAAAGTGTATTTTTCTTTAATAAAAAGATTGATGGGATTTTTGTATCTTTTTCTCCACAAAAAATCTACAATGGTAGTGGGCATAGTGTCCAATCTTGGTTATCGAGCTATGGAGCATGAACTTTGGTGACAAAATTGGCTTCAATAAAAAAAAAACGTGAACGATTTTCATAGAAAATGCTTCAAGATGTCAAATTTCTCTAATTAAGCCCCTAATAAAATCACAATCACCACCTATGTCACTAGTATAAACGGGCCTATTTTTGCTTCAAATTAGTCTAAACAAAACCTCTAATTCCAATTAGCAATTATGAAAGGTAAATTGGCAAATGAGTTAGTGGTGTTTAGTTAAATAAACTGCTGATTCAATCAGAAACTTAATATAGAAAAAAAAAATGTCCACTTCGAATTCAATTAGCGACTTAATCTTGGATGATTGGACAAAGCCACCTATTAAGTTGGTAGTTTGAAGGTAAAACCATTATTTTCAGGTTCGTTCGACATTACTGTGGTTTTCAGTTTTTTATTATAAAATCATATGATATACGTAGTATTTCATAAGAAGAATAAAAAAATTTAGTCAAATTTATTAGAATCATCGTTATTTTGAAAACTGAAACAAAAAAAAAAAATCAAACTACTTTTTGTGGTTAAAAAAAAAAAAAAAAAAAAAAAAAAAAGACATTCCAGCCTTAAAAAAAGGCTTTGTCTGTTTTGGGGAAAAACATTTCATTATAAATGATTTTCTTTTAATTCTCCATTTATCTTTTTTTTTTAGGGGCATTTTTCTTTCTTTATTTTGTTAAACGGTCGAAAACAATCTTTCATATGTGAAAAGTTACTTTTTAGAGAAGAAAAAGTACATTCCTTACCTCTCTATTTTCTCTCTCTATCATTTCCCTCATTTTTACTCTCGTTTTCCTTTTTCTCCATAAGTTTTCCTATGATAAAATAAACAAAAGAAAATCTTTTCCTAATCATGTTTTCCATTGTAAGTTGTATTTCTTTAGAAAATGGATTTACATGAAAAATGTTTCCATCGAAACAAATAGAGCCTAAGTTTAATATTTTCATCCGTTGGCGTAGAAGGTAGATTGGAATTAGGTAGTTAAAAAAAAAATACATAAGACAAGTGTAGTTAAATATGGTTGTGGGTTTTTGGGCTATATTAAGCCCGTATGCCTTAGTTTGGTTAGGCCCAGTTCATGCTTTAGCCCATTCGCCACGTGGCATCGTGCCTTGCTTACTTGTCAAAGTCTAATAAACTTATTATAACATGTTGTGTCATGCTTTTTCGGATAAAAACATGGCCCATGGCTCTCATGCCTTGGCATGTCTACTCCTTGTCATGCCATGATGAATTAGCACTGTGCCGATGTCATCGTGTGTTAGGATAATACTATACCCAATACTCCACACTTCCTCCGTTTCAAAATAACACTTTGTGATTATATAGAAAATTGGTGAGAAAGAAAGAGAAAAGAAAAGATGAGGTGCATCATCTTTTATTTTGATATCTAATACAAAAAGGGAAGGAGAGGGAAATTGGAATGATCCATTTTCCTTCTCCTTTTAGATAATTCAAATCCTTCTATTGTTGGAGAGATTTGGAAGGGAAATGAAAGTTCACATTCTCCCTCCACTCACTTCCTTTTCCCTTTCCTCCTCTTTCTTTACTATTGTTATTAATTAAAAAAAAAAGTGTGAATATCATAGTTTGACTTTTGCAATATTCACTTTTAATTTATCTTGTGCACATATGCAAAAGCAAAATATTGACTAATAATATCTTTAATTATCAATAAGTAAAAATCATACTCTCTCCGTTTCATATCAAATGCAACACTAGGGTGTTAACAAAGTTTAAGAAAATTTATAGGGTGAGTCCCAAAAGAGGATTTTTTATAATATAAAGTATTGTTTGGTAGGAGTGAAAAATATAATAAAAAAATAGTATAAGTGGGGTTGGTAGGAAAGAAAAATAGTAAAATATTTGAGAAAGTGGGGTTAGTGGGAGAGAAAAATTATAAACTAATGGTGGGTCCATGCCAAAAATAGTAGTATTGCAATTATTATGAAATGACCGAAAATGAAAAGTGTTGCATTTAATATGAAATGGAGGGAGTTACAATTGAATATTAATAACCATTGAGACGATTCCAATAAGTACCCACAAGAATTTATTTATTGTAGTCTAAGTCAAAAACATTAGTCAAAGTGATTAGATGAATATTACAAAAAGTCAAAACGTTTTACTTATTTAAATCAAATATATATAAATATAGTAGGCATTTTTCAAAAGCATTCGACGCGCAACATAAACAAGAGACTTATTTCAACCAATGAATAAAGAGATTTATATTTTGTTTTAAAATTTAAAAAATTCAATCACGCCATGTAAGCAAAATTAACGAATAAGATTTGAGAATTTATATTAATTAAATATAACAAATTATCTTTTAATATTAGGAATTTATCTATGTATAAGGAAAAAAATTCATAATTTATTTTAAAATAAAAAATCAATAATAAGCCAATTATAAAATCATAAATTTAATCATAAAATGGTTGATTTAAAAAAGTACAAACAAATTGTGCATCGCATGAGAAATTTAAAATCGCTACATAACTAAAAGTATTATTTCGACCAATGAAAAAAGAGATTTCCATTTTCTTTAAGAGTTAAAAAAAATTGTTCGTCATGTAAGTAGAATTTATAAATGAGATTAGATATTTTAAATTCAAGTATCACATAATTGAATGATGATTTGATATTTTAAATATTTTAAAGTATATAATTATCTTATAATATTCTAATTTAAATATAATATAAAATTATAAAAAAAATGAAAAAATTGATTCTAATAATCCCACCTTTGGCCGGTTCGTGTCAATAATCTCACCTTTGGATTATTATCTAATAATCCAACCTTTATTGGGCTATTGGTCCCTTATGACCGGTAACCTGTACATCAGATACTTTTTTTTTTTTTTTTGTGATTTTAGTGACATTTTTGTGATTTTAGTGACATGTGTCACTACATAAATGGTTAAAAAAAAAAACCTTAAAAAAAAAAAAGCCACCCCATCCACCGACGCCACCTTCCAGCAACTGTCCCTCCCCACCCATACACCCTCCGAAAACCCTCCTCCCCCACCCCCCACAACCGGAACACACCTTCCCACCCCCACCCAATGAAAATAAACCCATTCCCCTAAAACCACCACAATTACAGCCTTCTTTCCCCTAAAATTTCCCCAACATGGTTTTCATTGGGTGGGGGCAAACTAATTAAGGACGTTGCTTTATAATTTGACAAAAGAACCCTCACACAAATACTTGAATACATAAATTGTGCGTGTAATTTTATATTTAAGCTTTACAACCCAAAAATCCATAAATTGTGCGTCATACAATCCAAAAAACTGAAAAATTGCATAAACTATCATTTAAATAAAAATTACATCTTCAAGTCTTTACTTTTTTTTTAAGAATACAATAATTACGTTGAAAAATGTAAATCAATTACCAAATCTTATACAATCAACATTATCAAATAATATACAATTGTGATTTCTAATTAATAATCCTAACAATTTAACAATTTCTAATTCAAGTTTGGGGCCGGATACAAGACTTTTCTTTTACAGGTTCAAAGTTTTCAAACCTTAGACAATTTAATTATATTGATATTTATGTAATAAAATCAATGCCTTTGCCCATAATCCTATTATTACAACCAATAATTTGGGGTTGCAATTTGAGCAATTATTTTAAATTTAATGTAAATTGCTAAGGTAATTTAGAAGTTAGAACATGATTTCATTAAATAGTGCTACTTCTAGTGGAATCAATGGGGTCGGGAAAGGAACGACAATTACTTTTGGGTTTTATATAAGAGAAATAAAATTACATATCGAAGAAAAGGAAAAAAAAAGGAATTGTTTTATAAATGAATAACATAAAAATAAAAAAATAATAAAAAAAGACATTTGTATGAAGTAGTAGGGATACGAGCAAGGAAAGGGGAAAATTTTAAAATAAAAAGAAGCCTAGAAAAAAAAATGCTATATGTAGGGATTGAATGTGCCACAAATAATCCTTGTAGACACTTTAACCACTAGACCACCTCCTATTCTTTATCAATGTACCGCACACAATTGTTCATATTTATTTATTATTTTCAAAACTGGGGGGACAACTGTCCCTCTTTGTCCCCACCTAGCTTCGCCTCTGGTTTTAACAACAGTATGATTACAAAATTAATATCATTTCTTTCATTTACTTATTCATAATTCGTATACAAGTATATAGGTTATAGGTTATTAAAATATGTAACCTAAAAATGCATAGCAATTTTAAAAGGTTTTTTCTATTAGCCGCAAAATATATTTATTTTATCGAGGATTTTCTTATGATAGCGGAAGAAAAATACCTTCGAACAAATAAATTAAACTTATGTAAAATTTAGGTTATTGCATATTGAATAATGAATTTTGATGCTTAATAATATTTACAATAATAAACAAATGATAAATTTTTTTTAATTAAAATAATAACTCTGAAAATTGCACGGGCCAAAAACTAATATATATACTAGTATATATATATAGAGAGAGAGAGAGAGAGAGGGAGTATCACTTTGACATCCATTAGTACTTTCAATCATGTGATATAAGAAATCTCTAATTACCTTAATTTTAGTAAAAACAAATAAAATAAAACTAACCAGACACATAATTAAGAGACGGAAGGAGTCCAAGTGGCAGGTGAAAAAAGAGTGTACGTGGTAGACTCCCCGAAACTCCCCCGCTCTTCTCTCGCATCCGCCAAACTTTGGGAAATCCTCGTCGTTGACAGTGCTAACCACCTTCCTCTTCTTCTTCTTCTTCTTCTTCTTCTTCTTCTTCTTCCCACTCTCTGTAAATCACCACAACCATGTATCGCACGGCGGCGAATCGCCTCCTCGCCCACTCTTTCCGATCACTTACAACCACAATCAAACCCACTTACATTCATCCTTCTTCTTCATTTCTTACTTCTTCTCGATTTTCTACTTCCTCTTTTTCTTCCTCTAACCCTAACCCTAATTCTAATCCTCCTCATTTTAACTCTACTCAATCACAAACCCCTAATTTCTCCGACCATTCTACTCAAACGACGTCGTCTTCGTCATCATCGGAAGAACCTCGCTCTAGACGCCCTGTTGTGGAGTACGAGGAGGAGCAAGCTCGTGTTCTTCAAGCTTCTCTTCGTCACGTGGTATGCACGTGCCTCCTCCCCCCCACCCCCATTTTAGCTTATTCGCATTTTAGGGATCATGTATTTTGGGTCTAAGTAATTGCATTTTTTTGAAAATATTGTTATAGTGCAGTGAATCAGTGATAATTATTATAAATTTTAATCATGATAATAATCATGCAGTTTCATTTTTTTCATTTTTTGGGGAAGAAAAATGTGGGTCTTAGTGTTCCTGTTATGTACTGGTATTACATTTTGACAGGAATCAAGCTGGAATTATATATAGTATAGTTGAAATGCTGAATTTTGTATAGTTTTAGAGTGGAATTGTTGACTGATATATATTAGCCAGTGGAATGATGAGGGGTTAATGTTATGATTGTGTATACCAGGAGAGTTTGGGATGGACTGAGACAGCGATGTTGGCGGGCGCAAGGGAAGTTGGCCTCTCTCCCTCCATTGTTGGATCTTTCCCTAGGAAAGAAGCTGCACTTGTTGAGGTACTGCTTTTAATCTTATCTAATTAAATCTGGTTTTGAATGTTCTTGTGCATCTGATGAAAATTAGCAACATAACAAAGATGTGGCTAGTAAAAGTTATGGTCTTTCTTTTGTAGAACATAAGATTTGCTAATAATTTTGGAATGACATAGGTATTTGGTTTATATACATGTTGCTCGTCTTATGCTTAGAAGAAAGAAAATGATTTGGCATGTATAAAGCTTAAGGTTTCCACATTACAACGAATGATGATGCCTAAAAACAATGTTGGAATGCTTTGCCTTTATTGTTGCTTGCCTGGCTGGCTGAATTACCATCTTGTTGCAAATCCGACCAATATTCAAAGATTGGATAGAATTGCTGGGGTATTGAGAGTTTCCTTGCTAAAATGTATTAATCAAGGTTTTTTTTTCCACTTGTTAGGGGTAGTGGAAAGAATTCAAAGCTCTTACCAGTGTTACCACCTTATAGTATGACAAATATTGTCTTGTATCAGCAGCTCATTATTAGTGAAGCCTAATAAAAATTGCGTGTTTTCAATTAGCTATGTAGTTTATGTGTTTTTGTTTATCATATATCATACATGCCTATCCATTTAAAAAATTTCCTCCCCTTGCCTTTGCAGTATTTCATGGATGAGTGTTTGGAAAGACTTATTGATATAATTGAGTCTGACACGGAGCTGAAAAACTTGATTCCCAGTCAACACATATCAAAACTTGTGAGGATTCGTCTGGAAATGCAGGCTTCATTTATATCAAAATGGGCCCAGGCTCTTAGTATTCAGGTATATTTTTTCCCTATCACTTGCTTACTTGAATGTGCCCTTTTTTGTTATTTATTCCAAATCAATGAATTAGGATAGGCTTGCTATATCTAAGAGTTATGAATGACACTTACAATCTGAACCACAATAATGGGGGGAGAAAAGACAAGGCTCTTATAAGTATCTCTATTGTGATCCGACCAAAAACAGGGAAAAGGCTCTATTAAAAATTGTCTGGTAGGAATATAATAAACATTACTTGGACCCAAACACCCATGACTCATTTCTAAAGAATGTATGTTACCTAATATTCCAATGTGAAAACACGGCCGAAGTTAGCTTCTATAATTGGCAGGCTGTAATATTTTGGATGTGCTCTAAGTCAATTACTTCGTATTATTTTAGGTATTTGCAACTTTCTTGAGTTTGTGATAGTTGATCTTAAGTAGTGTCTTGATTGATAGGCGCTGCCAACAAATGTCCCTACAAGCTTTAAGCAACGTGCTGCTTTGATTGATGAGATTTGGCATGCTGCTGGTGATGATGCCTCTGATTTTGATTGGTATGTGAAGCGTACTGTGCTTGGTGGAATATACTCCACAACTGAGGTTTACATGTTGACCGATAAAACTCCAGGTTTGTTTAACTCTCTTGTGTGTGTGGTTTGTTATGTCTGGACGTTCTTCATAATTTTCTGTAATTATATTTTTATTTCTAAAGACTATCTCTATGCTAATTACTTGCTGTTGATATTCTTAGGAAGGTTTGACATGTAGTTGCCATAACTTTCAATTTGCTGTTTAGTAAAGCAGTACCTTAGAATCCATTACATGGCCCTATCTCTATGTAGGACTAGATCTTATGGTGAGTAATTTCTCAATTTTTCCGCTTGGCATCACAAGAGAAATCTTACAGGACTAGAGTAGCTGGTATCGAGGTCAATTATTAGCTACCATATAGCTGGTTGAAATATGCACCTTATCTCTGCTCAGTGTTTGGCTTTGCATTTCTTTGCAAATATTACATCACTGTTAAATGCCTGGTGATTGACTTAGATGCAACAACACTGTTGGCTTCAACGACCAGATCACCTGATTGAAACCTTTACTATGGATAGGAGGATTTTTTTTCTTTTTAGTTTGCCATGGATTATCCACTGTTTTCTCTCTTTATTTCTTATTTTCTAATTTTTTTTCCCCCTTCTATTCTTATCCCCCCCTTCCCCCCGCATTCTATTTTAAAGGTCATTGGATATAAATAGACTCCAAGAATCTAAGCCTTTTGGGTCGTGCATGGCTGTCAATCCTTGGTATTCGTATTTAGATCTATGCCTGCAATGAGGAAGGGCTGGCTGTAAAGAATAGTTTCTTTTGTATAGAGCATAGTAGGGGAAGAGCAGTAATGGAGAAGGGAGGGACAAAGTACAGTTTGAGGTTGTGAATTCTTGCTTGAGATTGAGGAGGAAATTTAATGCGGAGTATATACTATAGGGTGTCTGCAGTAGCAAGAGGTCATTCCCAAATAGAAGAGTATAGAGTATTCTATTTATTACAAATTTATCTTCTACCCTGTAGGCTGTATGCCTTAATTGCAACTCCAATACCTTCTGACCCTAAGCACGCAATTCGTTCCAGATTTTCGTGACACATGGGCATTCCTGGATGCGCGAGTTAGAGATGCCTTTGATTTAAAGAAGACCCTGCAAGAGGTTTGCTGTCTTTTGTTTTTCCCTCATTTTTGTTTTCAGGATTGAGTAGGAAACCTTATCACTAGTGTAATAATCCACAGGCTCAGTACTTAGCGGAAGCTGTAGGTGCAGGCTTGGGTGGCTCATTTCAGGGACTAGTGAAAGGAGTTTTCAAAAGATGATCCTCCTTTAACCTGAAGAATGTACTCAATAACATGCAGTTGCATAATTAAATGGATATGCTCAAATTTGATGAGGTTCTATGAATCAACCTGTCCAGCTTTTTTGTAGTATTTATGACCTTGCCTTGTGTTTCAGGCTACTTGTGCCTTTTGGTAGGTTAAAAGTTTTATCAGTTGCTACATTGTTGGTGGTTCTGCTTCTTCTGCATGTTGGTGTCCAAAAGTATACTAGAGGATGAAATTAAGAGAAAGGCTGCATTTTCGTTTTTATATTATATCACAGATTGAATTGTTTTTTGTAAATTGATGGATGAGCTAAATAATGCGTCTCTGTGGTTGGAGTTGAAAAAACTCTTATTTATTACTCTGCCAGTTTGTGCAGTTTGATGTATGACATTTTTTGTTATTTATTTTTATTATGGAAGCAACATGTTTACTTGTTCTTGGGATATGTTTTTTTTGTGTAAATTGGTGGAGCTCATATGTGGCTAGGAAACTTTGTAAAATAAACAAACTTCTGGGAAGGGAGCCATTTTGATTGTAAAAACTGCAGTCGAATGGGGTACAGGAGTATTCCTCATGCTGAAGGTGACTCTTTGTAATTGAGGGTTACAACCCTCATGCTGAAGGCGACTCTTTGTAATTGAGGGTTATATATATCGTCTACAGTTAAGAAGTGCATTGAATCTTGAATATTTTAAGATGTAAGCATTGGACTGAGATGGAAATTTGTTGAACTCCAGCACAACTAAGTAAACTGAATATGAAATAAAGGCAAGCAGGGGAAGTCTTGTTGCTTCCTCAACTAAATACTAGCTTCCTGGATGAACTAGCAGCCTTTGTATTTGCAAAATGCACATAATCAACTTATCAACCCATCAGTACTGTTAAATAAAACTTAAGTACTACGTACATGACTAAGGTACATTGTACGTAATCAGCCAATAGATACCGTAGACATAATCTTGAAATATTTCACAATTCAATGATTTCCTACAAAATGCATACATAAATCTTTCTATTGTGCCATAGTTTTCTTTTCCAAACATCCTATCCTAACTTACTGATTAATAAATTAAAAAAAAAAAAATTATAAAAATCCTAGCCAAAGTATAAGAATTTTATCATGAAATGCTGTAGCTGTCAGCTCTCATATTTTATCATATCAAGCACCCAAAAACCAAAAATATAACTTTCTTTCTGTTACAAGGCTTGAATGGGATCTCGACGATTCTATGATGAGCTTGGAATACTGAGTTTTTCAGTGATTCAGATTAGTCTTTGATTTTTTGGCATTATGAGATGCTGACAAATCGGCACTCCATTGTACCTAATTACTGGCTTAACCAACACATCATGGCTGAATTTCCCCTTAAGCCTGTATCTCCTCTATACTCTTTATCGCGTCCTCCATTGTAGGCCGTTTATTAGGATCAGTCTCGGTACAGTTGGCCCCCAATTGAAGGAGTTGTATCATAGCCTCTAGTGAATTTGTAGAAGATGCTATTTCCGGATCTAAGAACCCTGCTTCTTTCTTCTCCTCAATGGCTGTTCGAACCCACTGGATGACATTGGTGCCTCCTTTGCCGGTATTGAGATATTGAGAAGGGAATTTCCCTGTAAGCATTTCAAGGATGACGATCCCAAGACAATATACATCTCCTTTTGAAGAGACTTGCTGGCTCTCAACTGATTCAGGTGACTTGTAAGCAAACAACCCTTGTGCTGCTTGTGTTGGTGTCACCATTCGGCTGAAACCATAGTCAGCGAGAAGTGGTTCGTAGTTGCTGCCTAGAAAGATGTTGCTAGACTTAAGGTTCCCGTGTGGAAGCTCATAGTCAGAGAGTTCTGCATACAGGTATTGCACTCCGCTGGCTATGCCTTTTATGACTCTCAGTCGCGTAGGCCAGTTCAGGTCTGCATGACTAAGCCCTCTATCCCCTGAAAAACCATGCACACAAAAATCAAACTTTCAGACTCATGTATTGTCCTGTGTGCATGCAGTATTCATTCAGTTGAATAAAATGAGTGTATGTCTTTGCTTCAAGTTTACAAATCATTATGTATCTCTGATTGCAGGAAGTTCCTTTGTGCAAAAATTTCTGCGAAGTATATTTGAACACAAGATGTCAAGAACACATGCTTAAGAGTTTTTTTTTTCCTCTGAATATGGGTACTTGAATAACAAGAGATTGTCTAATTGATGTAATTACTGTGCAGGAGGATTGCATCCCTATTGATATGTCAGAAATATGGAGAAGACGACATTAATGGAAAATTTCTACGGTACCACATACAGGAATAGCATAATTAAGCTTTGAAGGAATAAGACATCATACCATGCAAGACATACAATAAGCTGCCTTTTGGAACATACTCAGAGACCACGAGCTTCTCCTCTTTTCGAAAATGGTAAGCTAGGGGTGTCAAGATATTCTTATGACGAAGCTTCCCAATCCTCCTAATTGCAGCATCAAACTCATCCTTCCCCAACTTATTCATATCTCTTATCCTCTTAACTACGACAGATACCCCATTAGACATGACAGCCTTGTAGGCCGATCCTAGAGCTCCATTCCCCAACACCTCAGCAGACGCCTTCATCAGATCAGCCAAGCCAAACGTACCCTTTTCATTATTGATCACACTTAGATCACCAATCGCTGCATTTTTTCCTTGAGACCCTTTTCGATCACCCCCATTGCTTTTCTTATTTGAGGAATCACTAACACTCGATTTTCTTGAGCCACCACCAGATATGACACTACCCCCACCAGAAGTAACGCTACCCCCAAAACCACCACTGTTTAGGCTTCGAGCGCTCCCAGCACCAACACTCCTAGAGGTTCCTTGCACACGTACCTCCACCACATCTTCCATTGGCTCCTTATTATACACATCGAAAGCTTCATCATTGGTGTTCTGGGACTTCTTTACGGTTGTTACAATGAGAACTATAGTCATAATCACCACAATTCCCACCATTATCCCTATAGTAACCGTCACATTATTGCCATTTTTCTGTACAGCGCTGCATTTCTTGCTTACCGGCTTCCCACAAACACCCGAATTGTCCTTAAACGCATCCGCTCCAAACCTTACCATACTCTCTGGGACTTGGCCTTCCAACATATTCCCAGACATATCCAACTCAGTCAACGTGTCTTGCGAAATTTCAGGTATCGAACCAGTAAACTTATTCCTTTCTAAATGAAGAGCCATTAACCCCTTCAATGTACCTAATGATTTAGGTATTTTACCAGAAAACTCGTTATCTGACAACCATAATCTCCTCAATGTTGTACCATCAAAAAAATCATCTGGAATTTCCCCTGAAAATTTGTTAGAACTAATATAAAGTGACCTCAAACCTTTCAACGTATTGAAAGGCGGTATAGGACCAGAAAACGAGTTATTCGAAAGACTTAGAGTCTTCAAGTTTGGAATTTGAGCAATAGAACTCACATCAACAGAACCCGAAAGGCTCATTTTTGTTAAATGCAAGCGAATGATTACAGGTTGTTGTTTCTCACAGAAAACACCTTCCCATTTGTCCTTGCAGGGGTCTGTGTTGGGTTTCCAACTGTCCAATGATTCAGTGTTTGACATCGAACCCTTGAACGCCAAGAGGGCTTCTGCCTCCGTGATTGACAACAAACACGGAGGCGATAATGAGAGGCAGAGGAGGAGGAGAAGAAATCGAACAGCAGACATTTAAGGTTTGCTGTTCTTTCTTTCTTTTTTCCTTTACCTCCGTTTAGAGAATGACAAGAAAATAGAGAAATGAAATTATGGGAAATTTTCTCTGCTATGGAAGAAGGAAATCTCTTTTTTTTTTTTTCTTTTTTTTGGGTGGTTGAGGGATTTTGATTATTGGTTGATCTTGGTTAAGTTTATGGAAAGTAGTGTAATTTTGATTTTTGCAATGTATCATAGTTTTTTCTATGATTCATGAATCTTGTTTGAAAAATATTGAGGTTGCTGCCATTGCTAAGAATAGGTTCAAAAAACAGAGAAAGAGAGAGAAGGATATTTGAGAATTGAGAGGGTGAAAATCAGATAGAATCCTACCATACACATAATGAGCAAATGAGCGGGAATTGAGGGATTTATTTGGTCTGATTATAGATACACACTTTTATAGGACTATCCTTTTTTGTACTTCAAATTATTTGTTATCAAATTTTAGGAGGAAATATAGGAATAGATATCGAGATTTTATCCTTCTCTATTTAATCCCAACTCGTAAGAAGTAACAAGTAATACACGAAATCATATCAATATTTTGTTACTTGCGAACATATCTTAGGTCGCCTATTTATCTAAGTTTTTGTTGCCGATCAAGGGATGTTTGCCTGATTTGTAGGGGGAAAGGGGAAAAGCCTGATTGAATTTTTACTATGAAACAATATTTTTGGAATTTCACAAATGTATTATCAATCATCCATTTCCTCGTATCTTAACATAGCTTGTTAAAAACTTCAATCATTTGCAAGTAGTTATTATAAGTAAGATAAATACGTTAATGTGACTAAAATCAATTAGTACCAATAAGAATTACTATTTCTTTTCTTGTTAGTTTGTACATATATTCTTTCATGGACATACAGTAAATTCTGATCTCTGTCTTTGCTTGAAGCTGACAACATGGATCAATGTGATGAGAAGGCCTACAACCAAATAATCAAATAAATGTTAGAATTAGTGGGAAAAAATAATTATCACAATTTTATTTTTTTTTAAGTTGAATAGAGCAGAACTTAATAGCACGTAGGAAATGAGAGTTCTAATAGGAGTATGACGTATTTACCGAAAAGATGTTATAATGACCGGGATCAGCAACGTGCTTGCTGAGGTTCTCAAGAGGCCCTTCACCAGTATAAACAGCTTGAAAACACAACCCAACAAAGGCCAACATAGCAAGCCTCCCGTTCTTGATCTCCTTAGTCCTTAGAACCATGACGGGCTCAGGAGACCCTCTTCCCCACATGAAGGGATCAAACCATAGTCCCCCTGGGTAACCCACGTCGGGTTTTGGGTTCTTCTTGTGGGGAACCTTAGGCTCGATGTCAACACATCCAGGGTTCACATAGTCTGCCCATCTCCTGCCCTCAACCCACCCCATTAAGGCTAGTTGTACCACAAAGAGGGTGATTGGGTCTGCAAAATACTCGCGTGATCCAGCATCGTACCAATTGAAGTCTTCCATTAGGCCAATGGATTCGAGCCATTCCGGGATTAGGATGCCTGATACCGCTAGCATTGCCCATCTGCTGTGCATTAGCTCTGCTTGTGCAAACCATCTTAGTGTCTCTGGGTCTGATCCTGCATTTAGTAATTTGTTTTTATTTTAGTTAAAATGTGAAATTATTATCATCATCCTCACAACAACAATACACAAATAACACATACCTAATCCAAGTGGGTCGAAGCCAAAATCACCGGGAAGACTACAAACAATAGGAGGTAAAATTATGTATGTAGTCAGCATTTTGATGATAGAAACTAAATTGAATTACATATATGCATCTAACTTTTTAAGTGCATGAATTCATATTTGTTAAGGGACATGTAATGATGTAATATTGGACTGATAATTTAGATTTTGGTTATGATGTATGCAGTCTTAAGGGCTAATTATAAGCATTTCCGTATTAATATATAAACACATGATAAAATCATGGATTGTTTAGTATTATTAGTGAATGATTTGTGCTTAAAATTTCCTCTTTTATCTCCTTTTACACAAAAAAAACACATCATATCATTTTTCTATGAACTTACCTTAAAATGTTAGATGAATGTCGTGAGATGACATTTAATATCGCATTGTTATTGTAAAGTTGTTTATGTTAATATCGTAGGAACTGGCTAAAATGACTTATATATGGGATCGAGAGTAATCGATTAACCAACCTGCCATCTAACCATTGAGGTGGTGTGCTACCAGGGAACCACAAAGGCCTATCTGGAGGAAGTGGTTCACAAACACTTGAAACTCCTCCTTTAGCTGCATTCACCTTACTACTACTTTCAACCATACATTTCCTCACTTGGTTCGGATACAATTTCCCTGGAATTTCTCTGTTCTTACAAAATTCCAACAACCATAAATTAATTAATCAGAATTTGATGATAATTTAAAGAAAAATACAAGATAAAAACTTTATTCAAAGTAGAATATATTATATTATAATGTTTAAGAAATGAAATGTTTCATAATAATTTATTACAGTACCTAATTGGAAGGTTTGACGACAGTGCAGTTGAAGCAACAGCCAAAGCCATTTTTTAATGGTGCAAAGATTATTCACGTACAATTGAATAAAGAACAGTTGATAGTTTATTGGAGGGAAGCTTGTCACAAATAGCTTATCTGCAAACTTGGCTTTTGTGATGATAAACTGTTATTCAGATTTTGACTTCTTGTGGTTGGGCTATATCCTATAGCTTTGTTAAGCCCATTACATGCAATTAAATTGTTTCATTGTTAGTCCAATGTTTCGAGTTCGAGCCTCTGAATGGCTCGTTTGGGTCATTACTCAATTTGAATCTGGATTAGTTACAATCTACTCTATATAGTTTGATGTATATTGTTATGTTGGGTAATTTACCTAAACTGTAGACCCAATAATCGAAATTAGATAATGGAAGTTATCTAAGTGATGAACCCACAGTTAAATAAGCGCATACAATTTAAGTTTACGTTTGATAAATTCATAGTAAAATCAAAGCTAATATGTAAAGATAAGAAATTTTTTATGTAAAGATCAAAAACACGCCCTTGATATTTGTGAGTAATAAGAATAATCGGTTTAATATTGGACTCACTAAAATGGAAAAGTGATATGAAGTATTATGTACATAATTTTATGACAAACTAAAATAGAAATGTCAATTGCCTATAACGATGGCTATAAATACTCTTAATCATCACTTTTAATCGTGAGGGAAACAACAATCATAACATATTGGACGTGAGCACAAGATTTGTGTCTTTTATGTTACACAAAGATTTATAATATAGACGAGATTTGATCTCATGTTTTTAGTAGCATTTCAAGATATCATGACATTTACAAAGTTACAAACTAACCTAACTAGCATGTACGGATTACAAGAAAAAACTTCATATATTGAGAGAAAAACCAAAATAAAGTTCACATGAGCTTTACCTAGTACAATAATGTATATTTTCATGTATTGTAACAAGTGGCATAAAAGATGCTTGTATTAGTTGTATAACACAAAACACTAGCTCTCTACATCTTTTACTCAAGAACTTCATTCAATCGGTAAGAATTTTAACACATACATGAATGTCGTAAAATCGTTGAATTAGAGTACTCCACTTAAACTCAAGGAAAAGAAAACTTCATACATGATTATCATAAATTAATTGATTAGAGTACTCCACTTCTTTAAGTGAATTGAGGTAAGTAATGATGGAACAACATATGCCATGCTAATCATAAAGTACAAATTTCAATCATTAATAAATCTCAAATCTTGCAAAATTAGGCAAATACCAACCTTATTCAACCAAACTTTGAATTAAATTCAATAGAAAGAAACGAACCTCCTAACTCTACAAAGTGTACTTCCAATCACTGTTCCTTTCCAATTACTCCAACAATTTCCTCAACTTCCCACCTGATTTTGATCTCTGACATCTCTCCTTCCCAAATCCAACCTCTTCAATGGCAATTTCATCTTCCCCTTCAATTTCCCACTAAAACACCCCAAAAAAACCCTTAAAAATCGCATCTGTTTTACTGGGGTTTGTCAAAAAACCATGTTTCATCAACAAAGAGCAGAATTAAGAAGATGGGTAGTTTCATTTTTATCCAATCACAAAACCCTTTTCACAGTTTTATGGATCGTGGGATTTGCATCGGTTTTTATATGGCAGCGCAACATTGTTGATAATTTGTTGTCATTCCGGCGAGCTCCGGGACGCCCAATGCCGAGGTTCAGGCCGTTTTCTTTCAACATTTCGGATTTCGGGGCGGTCGGTGATGGCGATACTGATAATACTGCGGCGTTTGAGAGGGCTATTTCAACCATTGCTAAGCTTGGGAAGAAAGGTGGAGGTCAGCTTAATGTGCCACCTGGGGTTTGGCTTACTTGCCCTTTTAATTTAACCAGTCATATGACTTTGTACCTTGCTGAAGATGCTGTTATTCTTGGAGTTGATGTAAGTTTTATTTAATGTTTGATTTTAATTTTGTGTTTTGTTATGATTTTGATATTGTTGCTAAATTATATGGTGGGTAGATGATGTTTTTTGATAGAGAAATGAGTAGTGATGTGAAATTTGTTTTATACTTTGTATATAGTAAGTTTTGAACTTGTGATTGTTGCGTTGAGTGTTTGATTAGTTGGTTTGTGGTCTGGTAGGGGCAGAGAGAAAGGTTAGGTTAATCTTTTTTTTTTCGTTTAGGCGAATTTGGTTCTATGATTAGTAGGAGAGAAGAATAAGGTTTGATGTTATGATGAATGTTTGTTGGCTAATTCCTCTTTTAGATTGTGCTATATGGCCTTTATCAACTGTTTGAATGGCTAAATGCTGGAACTTTGAGGTGATATGCTGCCAGAGTGCTAGAATGCGAATCTGATCCATCTTGTTTGAAAGGGGAAAGGGAGATCATTGAAAGGAACTTTAAAATTTGCTTTGATTTGTTTAGAGGAGTGAGTTACGGAGTACTTCCTTATGTGCTCCAATGTGATGGTGTTGGGCATTTATAACAGAACTTAGGAGGGGAAGGGAGGTTATGCAGCTTGGATATTAAAACTTTGAAAGTAGTTGACCGGACCAACGGAGTGAACTGATTGAGAAACTGTCCAAAGCCATTGAGATTTGGGATTGAATGATAACATATATGAGCCTGCTGAAGAAATAGAGAGTTACAATACATATTTTAGCATGAAGCAAAATTGGAAGATAGATATACAATATGCTATTCTAGAAGTGTGGATCACTTTTTTCAAGCATGTTTTATGTTGATAGTAATGTATTTTAAGCTGCACTGCATGAGCAACCATCACTCAGTGAAGTGGTTACCAAAGAGATAATTGCATTATAAAAAGATGTTAATGAAACTACCTCTTGTGCCATTTTACATTGTAAGTGTTTACATGGTTATGGGAAAGGGAGAAAACGGAGGTCATTAAGATGTTTTCTTGAGTCCTCATCTCACAAACCATCATGTGTGCTTTAGTTATGCACAGTGTTCTATTGAGGCTCATTGCCGTGAGGCACACTGATTTATGATCAAGAGAAGTGAAAATCCACAAGCCCAGTTGCGGAACAGTTCAACTTTTATTTGGACATATTCCATTAGGCTTTAACATTCAATAGAAATTTAAGTTTCAGATGCTGGATCAAAGGATATGTCTATGTTTATAAGATTCACTACTATGGGCCTAAATTTAAATACCACAATCTATTTACAGTTAAAAAAATAAATGTCTATTACTATTAGTGACTGCTATAAAGATACAATCTTGTCAAATTGCTAGTAGTTGTAATTGTTGTGATGAAGGGAAATGACCATTCCTCATTTTGAATTCCTAATTATTGTAATTTTTATGATTAAATCCTTGCTTGAAGGAGTCATACTGGGTTTGCTGTTGCTCCATGCTGAATGGTAAATTTCAGGTATTGTCTAGCTGTGGTTCCTGAGAAAGAAGGAAACTTAATTTTCTGCTACTTGAACAAAATACTGACTTCTTACTTTGTGATATATATTTTTTTTCTATTTCGGAAAGCAATAGAGATGTGTTGGAGATTGAAAGAGGGCTGAGATCTCTGACATGCAATTTAGTGAAAGCCTGAGATGTATTAGAGATTCATAATTGGACTTTTTTTTTTTTTTTAAGTGACATGCTTCCTCTTTTTGGATATTTCCTACCATAATCTTTTATCTTTAGTCACCATTACTACATTTTAAATTATTCCTATCTCCCCATGGTCCTCACTCCTACATTATTTATTATTTCTCTCCTCTCACATCCTTTATTCTTTATATTAACTATTAGACCATCGTCACTTCTCATTATATATAATCCTCCAGCACCACTACCATAATAATTTAAGGGGCTTATGTAATTCTCCATAAAAATTCATGTAGAATCTAGTGTGTCGCTTAAAAAAACAGAGGGTGTATTAAAGAAAATTGGAGATTAAATGATTGAATAGGGAGAAGGGATGGATCTAGTGATGTTTGACTTTTAATACTTCCTCGTTTCTCAATACATGAAACAATTTGACTGTTAATGAGTGTATAATAAAGTCAACTTGTTGGATGTATTAAGAAACAGGGGAAGTATAAAATTTCACATTTACTCTCCTTGCAAGGATAGTTAGTCAATGAGTCAATCTAGTATTGGAGAGAGTGGGCTTTGGTGAAAGAAGAATAAGTTGTCAGGAATTTTCCTGAAAGAGTAATGGTGGACTATAAACCATATCTTTTTTAAGTTTTTCTTTCTTTCATGGCACTCGTTGAGTTGAATGTCACTGAGTGCTGTTGTTTTGGTTGTTTATTGCCTATAAGGCTATTTCTTACCATGAAATTCCCATTTGGGTGTATAGGATGAGAAGAAATGGCCATTGATGCCACCATTGCCATCATATGGATATGGGAGAGAGCATCCTGGGCCCCGATATGGTAGCTTGATTCATGGTCAAAATCTCAGAGATGTTGTCATAACTGGTAAGTTTGCTTAGTATTTTAGCGATTCTAATTTTGCTGAGTAATTGAACTTGAAAGGAAGAGTTTTTTTTCCCTTATGCTTTGCAATAATAATGAGAAATGTTGTTATTATTTCTCCCATTAGCTGTCTATATTGGATTGGGAGTTTATCTGTGGTGGCATTTTGACATCTTAGCCTAATTGCAGCTGTGCGTGCATGTATGAGTGTGGACATGGCATAGAGCCTTGTGTAAAAGGTTGGTGGATTAAGAAGTTTAACAGAAATATATGTGTAATGTCAAAAATGATACAGTAGTTATAGAAATCAGCTTGTCAACAATAAATAAATTAATTAATTAAAAAAGAAATCAGAGTATGGCTTTTTTGTTAGAAAGGCTCTTAAAATAAAGAAGAATTGTAATATTACTAAGGTATGGCTTTGAAATCTACAGTTTTCTTAATGGATGACCTGCTTAAGGTACTATTCTTTGTAATCCTAATATATATTTATTTATATATCTTTTAAAAATAAATACTAGTGTATATATACCCACTCTCATTAAAAAAAAAAAATTTCTATTGTCTTTTCATTATTTCTGGACTGTTCTTATATCTTCTGCTTTCCAGAAACCTTTGGATTCCTTAATTCATATTCATTATTCTCTTTTAATCTCCAATACCCTGTGGACATGGGGGCTAATTTTCTTCATTTAGTCTAGAGACACTAGATGTGATTTCATCTCTTGATCTCTGAGCTCTGTGTAATGGTGAACTATGAGGCAAAAAAAAAAAAAAAAACTGTTACTATATATTTGCTAATGGAGACTGAAGTGACAATGAAATAAGTTACTGTTGACTTGAAGAGGATGGTACACTGATTTTGAAGTGCTGGTCTCTAAAATTAGATTACTGGTTTGGCCTTTTGCAAATTTCTTGGCCCTCTTTATCGCCCTTAGGTGCATAGTTTAGGAATACCATTATAGACTCGTTAGGTTAGTTATCTAGCCACTATTTTGTAAATTGTATTTTCTTCGAGATCAATAGAACTCTCCTCTCACATGTCCGTGGACGTACCTAATTCATCGTTAGTGAGCCTCGTAAAATCTGTGTTCTTATTTGTTGATTTCTATTATCTTTCGTACATCTGTTGTGACAGTAGATTTGATGTTTGCTGTGATTGATTCAACAATTTGTATCTAGTGATTTGAAATCCATTTATCATTCATGATACATTTTGTGCTTGCTGCGTTTCAGAAATATGGTTATTGGATCATATTGTATTGTCTATACTTTCTTCCCTCCTTGATAGACGAGATGAATTTTCAGCATGTTAGGTCACTTTAGTTGATTTACTCCATATGTTGTAATATCAATGCTATTATTGATGTACTACTTATGCTTAGATAAATCTACTACGTATTTCAAATTGATGTGCTATAGCTGACAATATTGCAACCATTACCAGCACAATTTAACTTTACTCTGCTGACAGGGAACAATGGTACAATTGATGGCCAGGGACAGACATGGTGGAAGAAGTACAAGCGGAAGGCCCTTAATAATACTAGAGGTCCTCTTGTACAGATCATGTGGTCAAGTGACATTGTTATTTCTGACATTACTTTACGTAATTCTCCTTTCTGGACATTACATCCTTATGACTGCAAGAATGTGACAATCCGGAATGTTACTATTTTGGCTCCTGTGTTTGAAGCTCCAAACACCGATGGTATAGACCCAGGTAAGTTCATTTTACAAATTGTTCTGAGCAAGAGGATGTGTCATACTGTCATATTTGTTTGAGAAATGTAGCAGTATACATTCATATGTTGTACACCTAGTCAGACCCCTCCTCTGTCCGACTGCCCCTCCCCTCAAAAAAGAGAGATTGTTTCACGTTTCCATTAGGAAGTTATCAACTTGTCGACTTGTATCAAACACTTACACACTCCTTAGATCCTTGACTAGCTGGTCTCTTGTTTCACCTTTGGTCAAGTAATTAAACATCAATGATTTATAGAAAGACCTGTGTGGCATAAAAGGCTCGAAGACATGAAAGATGTTGCTCTATTACTTCAATTCTGCAACTGATACATTGGTCCAATTTATTGCTTGTAAATTCCACTGGAATGAATGAGTCTGCATGACATATCAATATATCATCACCCAGCCAAGATTAGTTTAAAATTAAGGAGCCTGCTTGGCTTTCTTTTGTTCAGAAAGTTATTGATCATTGAGCTGCAAAACTGTCCCATTGTTTGATAAAGTTCTGCCTTTCATCAATTTACAGTAAATATCTTAGTAATTAGTAAACAACATTAAACATCCTCTTTTGTCATGCAATACTGCAATAGGCAACAAAGATATACTACTAGTAGATAAAGCTAGCTTCATTGATAATCTGAGAAGGATATGGCATGATTTAATCTTATAAAAGTGCATCCATATCGTTTTCATCAACTAACTGGTACTCTGGTAGTCATCTTGTCTGTCATTGAAATTCGTGAAGTCTGTCTACTGGTATTAGTGTCATAAAATTTTGCTGTCTTTTGGATAATTTATTAGATATCATGCTATGCATCCCAAATAGCAGAATGCAATAATTAAAATGATCTTGCCAGAAATCCTGTTTGAATCATTGACCTTACTTCTATGTAACAGATTCATGTGAAGATATGGTGATTGAGGACTGTTACATCAGCGTGGGGGATGATGGAATAGCAATAAAGAGTGGTTGGGATCAATATGGCATTGCTTATGGCCGGCCCTCTAAAAACATCCTCATCCGAAATCTTATTGTTCGATCTATGGTCAGGTGGGTGAACTTCAATTATGAACTGTACAATTCCTTGGAGTTTATTGCTTCAGTCTGGTCATAGAGTGAATGAATGAATGTTGTGATGTAAACCTCGCTGTTGGACCAACTTTGAACATTGTGGCCTTGTGGGTGTGAAAATGAGCTCATGGAATCACCTCAATTTTAGTTCTGACTAAGAGTTTTAGCTCTTTTTATCACTCGCCCCAATATCTCTTCCACACTACCCGAGTACCCGCTCACAAATTCCCACCCAAGGAAAAGGTATATTACTAAGTTGGGGAATAACTTTTTCGTTAGCTTCCTGATTCAGCACTTTGAGGTTGATGGTGCTAAGATTCATCTGGTCACATGGGATCATTTACAAAGGGAATAGGATATATCAAGAATAATGGAATATTAACTATCAAACACAAGTAATAAGTTCAGATCCATAGGCAATTTCGTAACCTCGATTGATTACAAGAGTTGGCCAAATATGTTACTCCTTATATTGAAATAGGTTCATGATCCTATCTTGTAGCAGTGGGAATTTCTGAAGATCAAGTTATATGACTGGGTTTTAACATGTCATGATAGTCGGTCAATATGCTGAGTTTTTTTTGCCAATCTTTTATTCTACATATTTGTAGTTCAAGAACATTGGAACTTGTTCACTTTACCTCTGAACTATTTTATACGATATTAACTAATTAAGGTGCTATAACTCGTGAATTCTCCGTACAATTTGTGCAGTGCTGGTGTATCGATAGGGAGTGAGATGTCTGGTGGTGTGTCAAATGTTACAGTTGAGAATGTCCTTGTATGGAGTTCTAGACGAGCTGTTCGAATCAAAACAGCCCCAGGTAGGGGAGGATATGTACGACATATTACCTACAGAAATCTAACATTTGATGAGGTGCGAGTTGGGATAGTTATAAAGACTGATTACAATGAACACCCAGATGAGGGATACGATCCCAAAGCTCTCCCAATCATTGAAGACATAAGCTTTACTTCAATCCATGGCCAGGGTGTTCGTGTACCTGTGAGAATCCACGGGAGTGAGGATATCCCCATTAGAAACATCACATTCCGTGACATGTCTATAGGAATATCATATAAGAAAAAGCGAATATTTCAGTGTGCCTTTGTACAAGGCCGTGTGATTGGGTCCATATTCCCAGCTCCTTGTGAGAATCTTGATTTATACGACGAAATGGGAAAACTCGTAAGACCCTCATCTTCACAAAACATGACAGACATAGATTATAATATATGAGGTTTTCTTGAGATTGCAGGGTGTTCGTTCTTTGTTCAGTATGTCCCAGTAGCTGCATTTATGCCTTGTACCGAAATTTTTGCTGAAATGCAGGGGATTGTAGCTTAGTTTTGTTGGCCAGATTTCATTTTCCACTTTCTTTAGGTTTTCCTTCAATGTTGCTAGAATTTTTATTTCACTGATGTGTAAATAGAGCAGATACACAGATAATGTACACAAAATCGACGGCAAATGGAATCAATATCTTAAGAGTTCCGGAAACCAAGTTAGCAGAGAGAAAAATGTGTATTATTATTTTTTGTTATTTTTACAATGATTTTCTTTTGAATATTTGTTTTAGAAATGAGATATTCGTCTATAAATAATCAATTTATTACCATATATTTCTAGTTATTTCTGCAAATGCAAGCATATTTATTATTTCCCCCTCATTTTTAAGTGATCAATTTCCAGTTTTGCTAAGTAAATAACCGATGATTAAAAATATGACACTATTATAGCTTGAAAAAATAATATATACTCCGTATATATATAAGTTGTAGCTAAAGATTGAACTCGAGCTTGAGTTGAGTTATGAATTTATGTTTTGAGTCAAGCCTCCATTTTAAACTATAACAAGGCTCAAGGTCGAGTTTGAATTGATTGTGAGTCCAACAAAGTTATATTTAAATTGATTGTAAGTCCAACAAAGTTATAATATTACCTATAATAAGACCGTATTATATACGAGTAGAAAATTTACATGGCACCTTTAAATTTATTTTCTATTTTTTTATGTCTTCTGTTCATTGTCCATTATCTACCATTCTAACCTACTCCCTTTATTATGTTAATGGAAGCACTCAAGCACCAAAACCTAATTTATTTGTTTTTTAAAAGAAAATTTACGTTTTTGTAATTTTTAGGCATGTTTTGTGCTGGACAGAACTTCCAAACTTGAGAGTTGAGATATTTGACCTCCCTATTTGAAATGCTTTGAATAGAAGATAGGTTTTGTACCGTGATTTGTTAAAAATAAGCATTTACTTTGTATTTTTTAAGGTCAAGTCAATGGTCGAGAGTATAAGGAAATTGAGGGAATCTTTCACTTTCAAACACGTGTAATATTGATGTTCGAACTTGTGACCAAGTCATGACATGAATGTTTTAGTAAAATCTCTATAAAATTTAACCATAATTATTCACTAATAAGTATGAAGTATATTATAAAAGAAAAGAAAATGATTTATGGTCTAATTGCAATCCAATAAGTAGGTTCAAAATATCAAAATTGATCATCAAATAATACTTTGTACAAGTATATATTTTGGATACTATGGACTATGGTAATTGGTAAAATAGATAAACATCTTTTTGAAATAAAGGAAATAGTACGTAATAATATGTATGCAAAACTATTACTTTAAAAGACATATAAATTTGAGAAAACACGTCATAATTAAAACTACAATCTTCAAGGAGGCAAACAACCCTCTGACTTTACACTTTAATTAATCTATCTAAATGCTAAGTAATTAACATTTTGTTATCAAATTTACCAAAGTAAAACTCCTTTATCGTTAATTTTCTCCCACCCTCTTTTCATCATCTTTTTTTTTTGTCTTGAAACCGGAAGGAGAGATCTAACCACTTGAGCTATGCGTCACTATCTCACCCTCTTTTCATCATTCGTTGCACTTAAAAGCATATTTTGAAAATCTTTTACACAACCAAATAAAAGAAAAAACAATTCAATCTCTATTTCAGGCATTTCAGCTATGCACAAGTAATAGAAAAGATACTATATATACTACGGAGTACAAGTTTAGAGAGATTTAAAGAATAAATTATTTAGATGAGAATTAATCAAAATAAGGCGTTTAATACTTTAATCAAATTAGATGACATCTACACTTTAAATACATAATAGGCGTTATTTTATTTTATTTTTTTTAAATAACGTTAATTGTTAAAAGTCTTGAAGATTCCTAGCAGGAGGCATGAATTTTGTTAATAATATTTCTACTTGAAGTCTTGAAGATGCTTCACATGATATCATTAGTTGACTTCCTTGATCGACTTCAATAATTCTTGGCCTTTTTTGACATGCGATACACGAACTAATTAATATTTGACCTAGTCTCGTCACATGGGGCGATAAGCCGATATTAATCAATCAATTATTTTCAAAGAAAATAGTTGGTCCAATGGTTGCATAATTGTACCTCCGTGACCCGATTGATGTCTATGTAATTATAGAGAATTACGTCAACTAAAAATTTAATTGGTTAAAATTTCACGTTGATATTCAAAATTTGAGATTGAATCTCGTTTAAGTCACTTCCTTCATAGCAATATTTGAAAAAAAAAATTAAAAATAGTTATCGAGTTTTCTTGGAGTTGCTAATGATAGCTTACAAATTATCATGTGTCCATATTTTCAATGTTTACATACTCCATTTGTTAGAAAATTCCAAGTAACTAACTAACTAAGACTTAAGAATAAAAGATACAACACAAACAAAGAAACAATAACTTCCAAAGTAATCACCATGTTACATACTTACATGCATGACTTCAATTCATAGTGATCTATTTGGTATGGCTTCTAGAATGAAAAGGTTTATCATGTGTAAATGATTAGCTTTAACTTAGAAAAAATTTAACCCAGGAAACATCTTCTCAATTTCTAGGCATGAAGAATAATCCAAAACAGAAACTGAGCTAAATGAACATTAACTACTCTAGTTACTTTGAAATTGAATAAAATATATAGATTACGTACTTAAATTTTTTATATTTCCTCCTTTTTAGTAAGTTGAAGGTCCCGTTCACTTCACCTTATTTTTGCTGAACTGAAATTAATTTTACTAAACTGAAATTTTTTTTGTTGAACTGAAATTTTTTTTACTGATTCTCTATTATATTTCTTCTTTAAAATTACAAATTTTTACTGAATTGAAATTATTTTTGTTGGAATGAAATTATTTTTGTTGAACTGAACTTTTTTTTACTAAACTGAAATTATTTTTACTGAATATTATTATTTTAAGGTGAAGTGAACAGGGCCAAAGTAAGTTTTTTTTTTTTTATTTACAGTACTAGATAAAAACTCTACTTAAAACTTTCAATTCTCTAATTTTACACTTGTCACAATTAGGGGGAAAAAAAAAACCATTATCAATACATTATTTCAAATATATAGTTGCCTCTAAAGCTCCCAAAAGGGGCCTGTATTTCAAAATAACTATTTTGTAGTTTTTTAATGACCTAAGTTAAACTTGGAACATTGCATATTTTGTTACTTGTATATTGTGCTAAATGGACATATTTAAAGTTAATTCTTGATAACTTTTGCGGAGTATAAAATTTCAAAAAAGCAATGTTTGGCATCATAATTCATAAAGAGCAACTAACAAGGATGTCAAGCATCAAATTGAGCAAGGAATGAAATTCACCGAAAAAATTACTAGATTTCTTATGAAATTTAACTTTTTTGAATTAGCTATATAGGTGATCAGTACAGTTTAGAAAATTACGCATCAACTGTCTTGAATGATAAGGGTGTGACTTTGCTACTTTGGTATGAAAAGTCATACCCGCCCACCTCGTCCTGCGTACACCTAACTTCTTTCCCGCCAAAACACGTATTTATATGATTTCACATCAACTCAAGAGCAAAATGAAACTTGATTCGTACATAGAAATTTGGGAATTTGAATTTACCTTGATTTGCTACACACCTCTATGGGTTCTTCTCACATTTTCCCTTTGTATCAGTTTGCTTCACTTGATTCTCAATCTCTACTAAATCTTTCTTCTTTAGATTAAATCATCAGAGCACAAAAAATTTGTCAACTAGAAAAATGACGATGGATAAGTAAGTAATGATCAATGACAGAATCATAACGACAAGAGAGCGATTAGTGCAAGGATTTGTTGGTACTACAAATCTCATACATGGAAATATCCTTTCCCGCCCCCCAACAACAACAGCACACACACCCTCTTTCACTCAATCCCCCCCCCCCCTCTCTCTCTCTCCAAAAACTTTGCTGCAAAAAAAAATGAAAATCAACTACTTACATTACATAATACCACTCCATTTTTTTTATTTGCATCACTTTTCTTTTACGGGTGGCTTTTTTTAAATGCATCATTTCTATATTTGGTAACTTTATACAATATTTTATCATTTCTCTCTCTTACTTTAAACCCCATTCAAATTATTTTATCATTTTTCTCTCTTCCATGGTCCCCAGTTAAATAATAAAAATATCTATCCTCTCTCCCATACTTTCTCTTTCATGGTCTCCATCTTAATTTTACTATAATAATTTAATCACTCATTCACAATATTATATTACTCTCTTAAAACTTCGTGCATTCCCAAGTGATGCAAATAAAAAAAAATGGAAGAAGTACTTGCATAAATTTTACTAGGACACTAGTTAATAATCACACTGATTTTAGTGTCTCGTAGAGGTGATCATCAACAGCCTGGCCCGGACTGGCTCGAAAAAAGTACGGTTTTGTAATACCCTGGAAAATTCCTTCTTTTGAAATACTCATTTTACTCTAAATAAAACCCTTTTTAGGAAATAACCAAAATATTACCGCCACCGTGATGACGGCTAAGGCTATTTTTCAAAGTCATACAGTGGAAGTCTAAAAATAAAACTAACTTTTAAAATAAAACTTGAGTTCACAACCTCAAAACGAAAGTAAAATAAAACGTTCACAAGTTGGAACAAATTCAAACATGGCCCTTTAAAAACCAACTCAAAAATAAAGCGTAACAATGTTAGTCCATAATCAATAAACCAATAATTCAAAATATAAAACTAAGAAAGCATAACAAGTAACTCTCTGCACTCATTCCCTTCATGCTCTTCATGCTTCAAGTACCTGTCACTTTCTCTTTATTTCAACCCCTCTACTCACCATATAAATGGATCATAGTAGGGTCAATCAAAAGGAAAGCCAAACCCAAACACAAAAGTACGAATCAGCAAAAGCTGAGTACATATGCATCAGACTAACATGAATATCCTAACATCAATAAAAATAATTAAACATGCTCGCCATACAATTACAAGTCAACTTACCTTTGACTCATAACTAACAATATTAATTATTGAATAATAATTTTGGATTACGCATTGAACGGGTTTCCTTTCTTAAAAATAGCCAATTAAATATTGAGCTTCCAATTAAGGAGCTACCCTAATTGGCACCTACTATGTCACCATGTGATGGAATTCCAGCGCATCAATAATAAAAGAAAATACAGCATCTTGTATCCCTTGTAGAAGCTATGATCAAATATAAAGTCACATAACTCCCGCCATGTGTTCATACTCAAGGTGTATACGTTCCAAGATTTTTTGTGCGTATCTTCTTACACTTTATGA